CTCCCCGCCCCCAAACAGCTCACAAATTGCCTAGAGGAGAGACCAACACTGCTAGCCAAGCAGGTGTCCAGCAGGGACCACTCCAAAGCTCAGCAGCAGTCCTGTAACCTCTCAGGATTAGCAATTGTCAAAGAGGTTAAAAAACTGAAGCTGCTGTCAAAGGCAGCTGGTGGTATTTCGTGAAAGTCATGGTAAATAAAGGGTTCATCTACATTGTTTTAAAATATTGCTAGAAATAGCATTGTAAATGTCCCCAAAATGACTGAGTGTCTTAAGTTTTTGTTTCAAGCATTGAAACAAGCTCACAAATTTTCTACAGCATTCCAAAAAGTGAATTTATGTTAAATTAGTATTATCTTGAACTCTTTATTTATGGCTTTAAGGATTTCACTTCTGTTGTAGGCAAGGCACCACCACTAAATCCGTACTTTCATTGTACACACCTACTCCTACAACAATTATAAACAATTATACTATTCCCATCAATGGACTAGTAAAGGCAAATCACCAATAACACAAAAGTCACTACCTTTCACTGCAATGACAAATAGCTCATATTTACTTTTATTCTTCTACACATATGATAAACTGTTGCTTCCAACTAAAATAGTTTCCAAATATTTCCAGTTTGTAAAGATTGAGATTTAGTCCCTTATGAGGATTTTCCACTTGTGTTTTAAAACCACAGATAAAGTCTTCTATAGTAAGAAGCTACTATCAAAAATGTCAAAATACAATATTTAACATACCAGAAATATAATATGAAAACACTAAAGAAAATTAGAAGTAACTTCTCTTAAAAATACAGATCAAATGTGAAATAGGAAGAAAATATCTAACAGAGTAGGGGAAGTGGGAGGTGTAGGGGAAAGGAAAGAAGGGAAAAGAAAAAATAGGAGAAAATGAAAAAAAATGGAAAGAAAGTCTTCATAAATAGGGAAGGGTGGAAGGGGTGAAAGGAGGGTAGGGGAAGGGGAAAAAATACGAACCAAGATACATCATGTAAAGGTACAAGATCCCAATGATCGATGTAAATGTACTGTATACCAAAAATGTACCAATAAACTTAATGAAAAAAAAATACAGATCAATACAGAGGTAAAGAGACAAATTCATATTTTCCTATGAAGCACAAACATATATGTATACAGTATGTATATATATATATATATGCATATATAAATGAAAAGAGAAAGCATATTGTAAAGCTCTGACCAATAATACATGAACTTTAAAAATACTAAATTGATGTCAGCCATTAGTAGCTCACATATTATTTTAATTCAACCTATCATACATAAATATTCTATACACACACACACAACTATTCAACTTAAATCATATAACTATGTAACTTAAATCATAAACCAACTGCTTTTATTATCCATACATAAAACTGTCTCATAGAAATCTGGAAAGGAATCAGAGAAAGAAATATTCATCAATATTTTCATAGCCGTGAAAGTATACTTTATATTTAAAAGGTTAAAAAAATACCACTAATACAAATATACTGTAGTCAATATTTTACATTAGAAAATTTTATGTCACAAAGCAAAAGTTTCCACGTACAACCAGCATTGGCAACTTGTAAACATAAACACACACACACACACACACACACACACACACACACCCATACACACAAATATACACATACGTATGTATCAAGTCTGGACTGTCTCATACCAGACTGAGTTTCAAACAAATTTTCAAACCTAAAGCATTTAAAATATAAGACAGCTAAATATTACCTGTAGGTAGTAAAGAGATATTTTGAAAGGACATTTAAACATTGTCAAACTGATGAAAATTTTACAAAGCTGTAGTTGCAAATATGACTTCACCTCCTGAGAATAAACTCCCAAATCTATGTAAAACCACAAAAAGAAAGTGTTTCTAGAAGTTTATCTATGGAGATTCTTCAAAATTTCTAAGAAGAAAATAGGATGTTTTCCAAATTTCTATGAAAGCTACCTACACTCACAGGCAGGTTATAATCCCTTTATTTAAATATTCTCAAGTTAGGGGCCAGGGCTTTAGCTCAGTGATGCCCTGCCTGGCTTGCAAGCTCAAGGTCCTGAGTTTGCTCCCCAGTACAAAAAAAAATCTCAAATTATTATTCTTCTGCAGATAAGCAACTGATTGAAAAAAAACCAACATATTTTTGGTCTAGTTTCATTAGGCTCCAAAAAATACCCAACCAAAATTATTAAATTTCAGGCTAGATTTCTCATAGACTTAGGGTCTAATACTAGTTTCTGTGGTACTCCAACAATTATAAAGTTTGTTCAAAGTGAAAAGAAAATAAGATTGCTTTCTTCCCCTCCATCCTAAGCGTGCTTAAAACCCCCAAAGCATCCTAACTGATGGCAAACATTTATTTATATTCAGTCCTTACTTTTGCTTTAATAAATTAAGTCATTTGTAATTATCTCTCATGAGCAAACAACTATTATGCCAGAGGCTTTAAAAATAATTGCCTTAAGTAGAAATACAGTCCATGAATTATACTTTATATTTTTAATATGCTTAATAACACCATTCCCCATACATCTTTTAGAAATAAAATGCAGCCAGGTAAAATCACTCCAATTACAAATTAGCAGTATCCAAATTAATCAGATTTTTCCTACCCTGGCAGCGAATCTATTAACAAGTACAGAGTGTAATTATAATTACCATTATACTCCAGAAATAAAAATGTTTTCATCTACCAAAAGGAAAAAATTATTAAATATATATTTAAACTATAATTTTATAAGACTCAATATCTGTCTGCTTTAATATTGAGACTGGTAAATGTCAAAAGCCCTCAGTCACATCATATGAAATGCAAATATCATTTACAGAGGACTTGGATTCTGTTATGGACCACTGCATCAAACAAGATAGAGGACAATGTACATGGAAAATCTTCAAAGCATCTTCTGAACATTAACTAAGCTCTGAAAAATACCTGTGAAATTCATATTTTACAGATATAATAAACAAAGGGCAATGATGGTTCTTGGCCAAGGCTATACAAAGAGTCATTCTTGGCCAAATTTTACAACACAGAATTCCCTGGCTCCCAATGTAAGAAGAGAAGATTTTTTAAACTTTCAGAGTTCTTGGAAATAATCTTGTCCAGTACCCTCATTATATGATGAAAAAATTGAAACTCAAAGAAGTTAACTCACCCAGTGTCACAGTGACGGCTGGTACTGAAACTTTTCTCAATCTTCTAGTCTAGGATTCCTACTCTAGAATCCTTTTGTCTGTCTTTTTCAATCAAGCCATTCTACAAAATGTATATTTCTATT